AGCTCAAGGATCAACTGCATCAGCGTAATTTGCTGCTGTGTGGGCCTGGAGGCGATGGGATGGAAAGTGGGGAGACCCAACAAAGTTGTGTAGGGGAATCAATAGAACTTGGCGACTAACTAGATATGGAAGGAAAAGGAAAATAAGGGACAATGCTTAACCAATGATTTAGAGTCTGGGTGACAAGGAAAATTTCACAAGGAGAAACTGGTTTGGGAAAAAAGTAATAAATTGCAGAATCCCACTGTTGATGGAAACTTACGTAAAGCTCATTTAGTCCAGCCTCATTTCTTGTGTTCAGATCTCTTCTACATCGTATGCCAAGGGAAGGGTCAACGTAAGGATAGACATCTCCAATAATAGGGAACATTCTAGCTCCTCAAACAGTGAATTCTACTTTTGGAGTTTTACTTCAAGTTCCTTGACTTCATGGTGAAGAGAGGCTGTTCAAGATTATTGGAAATGCAGGATTTTAAGTCAGTAGAGAGACTAGAATTGGAGATAAAGATTTGGAGCCAAGGAGATGAGCTGACATTGTGACAAGTAGCTAGGAGAAACACCCTACGGTAGAGAGAGAGAAGGGATGAGGACGGAACCATGACCTTCGGAAGACAGGGGAGAGGAAAAGTAATTGCAAAGGAGAAAGAAACTAAGAGAGGGAAAAATCAATTACATATGGTACAGCGTCATGGAAGTCAGGAAAAGAGAGTTTCAAAAAGGGCAAATAATGGCAAATTCTGCAGAGGATGAGCAGAAAGAGTAAGATCAGGAAACTCCTCCTAGATTCTCCTGGATGAGATCTCCATGGTGTGACCTGATCGTCTTGTTAGAAGTCATTTTCTTCAATATCAGACACGACCATGTCTAAATTTAAGGATAAAATCACATTGCAGATCCAAATGTAAATGGTGTTCTTTTCAAATTTGAAAACTTTGTGCATGTACCAGGTTCGTTACACAGTACAGCTTCTTTCTTGTCAAAGATGAATATTTAAATATTAAAATCAGGGAACTCTGAGGTGGTACATTATATCCAATCAGGATGAAATTGAGGTTTGGAGTACACTGTGTATGTTTTCATGTGTGTGCTCCCTCAAGTATCTTTCTGCTGTTTCAGTGGACCCCATGGTGAGGTGGCTGGAGTTCTGAGTGTTCCTTTGGGAGAGATGGTTCAAGTTTGTCACAGGTTGTCAGCGTAAGGCCGTTGATGATTTCATTTTAATCCATATTGGACATTTCTCCATATCACAGAATCACTGACCATGAAATTTAGCAGAAGGGGTAATTTTATTCACTGCAGGGCTAGCACTAACAGGATGCAGGATATTACAGATCAAATGTAAAATGTTTTATCGCTGCTGCTGGAGAAAGCTCTGTGGTAACTGAGATTGTTTTCTACAACCTGTTACCTAACCTATAAGCCTGATATTCATGCCTAAATCTTTTATTTTGTTTTATATGGATTAAAATGCTGTTGAACTACAGGCCTAAAATGACTAGGAGGTATCATTTGAGGAGTTCAGAAAAGCACCATCCCTCAGGAAAAAAGTTCACCTCAATGACCTCACTTATTATAAAGACTTGAAATTCACACGTCATTCACATTTTTGGGGTCAAGTTAATGTATCGACTCACAAATATGTTGATCCGATAAGTTAACTTGGCAGACAACGTTCCCTTCCATGAGTGGGATGTGGGATAGGGACATTTTGATGGAAAGAAAGTTTGGGAAAGGGTCAGGGTTTGGGATGTTGTCTGGAAGGGCATGCTGGGATCACCAAGATGAGGGTGTGTGAGAACTGGAGGACAGTGAGGACACCACTCTCCTGGGGAGGGGCAAATGCCAAAGACCAGGTGTGCGCAAGGGGCGCTGTTTCAATCAGCATACTTTTCCACTCGTGAGTTTTCCTCTTTCACTCTGTTGAATAGGTTTGTCTCCTGTGCTAAGAGAGAGCACTGAGAATGGGCTTTCCTGAGCCTATAGAAGACAACGGTGGGGGCAAGCTTTGGGAGAAGCCGGACCAGGAGTCAAATACAATCTCTATCACTTTTAAGTTGTAAAATTTGGGAACATTGCTGACATTCTTTAAATTTCCCTCATCTGTTAATTGATATATCTTCCTCAGAATGTTGTTCCAGGAGTTAAAGGTAATAGTAGGTATTAAATACAACTGAGGGGGATCAGAATTTGCCACCTCAAATTGTATCTCTTTGCCTTGATTATTTTTAAGAACAAAAGACTCTGAAAGAAACTTTGACCTTCCCCCTAACTGCCTAAAAGAAGTTAAGATAGAGTGGCCTCTTCCAGGAAGGAGCTAACACCATAAGCTAACTATAGTACAATATAAACTAGGTATGGTAGACTAGGAGGATCCTTGCTAAGCCCATTTTTATCAAAGTTCTCTCTCTAGCATCACGCCATCTAAAGATGGCCCACCAAATATTTGTTTACCAAACATCTGCTTTTCCATCTCCATGTAAATTACCTTCCTCCCTTTTGAAGCCCCAGACCCCTACCCCTAGCATCCTCTTTGTCTCTAGCTGAAGATGGTATTTAAGGTTAATACTAAGGTATTAAGGTATTTGGCCATTCAGGGGAGTTACTCGGTTTTCCTGGGTTTCTCCCATGTATACATGCTATAAAGCTTTGTTTGATTTTTCTCCTGTTATTCTGTCTCATGTCAATTTAGTTCTTGGAGCAGTCAGAAGGACCTAGAGGGCGGAGGAACAGTGCTTTCTCCCCTATACCACCATCCTGTATAATGTCTGATGCTGATCAATGTTCTTCCTCTTTCTTCTCAGCCCAAACTGCCTTTCCCACTAACAGAGAGGAGGACGCCAGGAGCTGAGGGAGAGCGGCAGCATGGCTTTCTCCTCTCCTGTTCTCACTGAAGATCCTCTCCTTGGCTGCCTTGTTTGTGTGTTTCTTGAGATTCCAGCCCCATCATAGAGGGGCTTCCTCTGCCAGAGGCAAATCCATCTTCACGTGTGTGTGACCTGAGGAGAGCCCTGGGCTGGGTTCCATGCTTCACTGTTGCTGCCTAGAAATTCTTAATAACTTTTGAAATAGGCTCTGGTGTTTCATTTTGGTTTGGACCCCACCAATTATATCCTGACCAGAGAATGTTCACTCGGTGGCCTAGTCCTGCCCTCGATATATGTGTGGGCACTTTCTTCCTCCGCTTTCCAAAGAGATGAACCACTCAGAGGTGATGACAAGACCAGCTACCTGCAGCGGGCAAAATGAGGGAGGAGGATGAGAAAAAGTCTTGGGAAATCCTTTTTCTGGTGTGAAAGAATAAAAAGGGAATGAGAGAAACATACTTTCTAGTGAGGTCTGCTTGGTCAGTGAAAGCATTGTGGGAAGTCAGGATGAATACTCAAGTATATCCTTCTCTACTTCTTTACATTCCATATTTGTAGCCTTAAAATATACGCATTCACATATCTTCAAACGCAAACCAAATAATACAGCTGCCAAAGGATTTAGATATTTTAGGACACGTTTGTTTCTCTTACATTTTGTTGATGTCTAAACACAGTCCTTCGAAGTGAAAATTCCCTGATCTAATTTAATTTTTTCCCATCTTTACATTGACTATCCGAGTGGTTTGTACAACGTGTTATGCTGAGACTTTGTTTCCAGCCTCTAAAAGCAAAGACCACAGCTCTGTAGAGTATTTTTTACTGAATAGATGAGACATGGGTGATTTCAATAAACTTGGTCATTTATCCTCCCTAACCTAGGCCAGCTGCCTAGGAAACTGCTCCCTGACTGAATGAACAAACACTAGAAATCACCATGCTTTTGAAGTCTGCGACCCCTAACACTAGCCCATGATTTGGGATTCAACATAGAAGCCAGTGTGAAGTGACAGTTGCCCAAAAGGACCAGAGTTAAAACTGAGACTCATGAACCATTAGGCACAGCTGACGTGGTTCACAGTGACAATGAAAGCAGTCGCGCCATAAAATACGAGGAGATGCTTTTTCAGAGTCTCTTTACTTTCAGTCCGGAGAAAATTTCAAAGAGCTTGAATAACCAGAAAAAGGCATCAAGATAAGTGTGAGCACAGGGACCTCCTCTGTGACACTGCTTCCCATGAAAGACCCAGGGGCTGCGGCTGGAAGGAGAAAGAGAAGTGGGGCTCTTCATTGGTTAACCAACCCTGACCACCGCTCAGCACCTGCAAAATGGAGCTCAGTCTTGGAGGGGGAAAAAAGGAGCAGATGAAAGATGTTATTTTGATTTTCTTCTAGATTTCTGACCAGACTGAGTATTGAAATGCCAAAATTACCATGCGAAAGCCTAGTGGCCTGCTCCTGCCTCCTAATTTAAAGCAAAACAAGAAAAGATAGCACCACAAACCTCTTTACCATAGTTCAAAAAACCTTTTAGCATGATGTTCTAAACCAAAGAAGTTTGGATAAGCATCTAAAATTTTAATTAAATGAATTAGGGAACATGAAAGGACTTTGCAAAGTATAAAGTGCTATTTAATTGCTTGGTGTTATTATTATTAATTAAAATCAGTTAAACTTCTATTGGAGGCTTGTGTCCTTTATGAGAAATATGCAAATTGTCCTTAGATATAGTACTTAATTGGAGGATAAAAGTAGTTTTTATCAAGAAAGGAAAACAAATTGGGACCTACTGAGAACAGGGAACCAGCATGACTGTAAAATTCAGAAAAAAGTGATGATGGTTGAAGTCAACTCCTTGAAAACTAAAAAACCGAACTCTTGTTCCTAATTTTAAAAAAGTGGGGGAAAAGTTTTACATTGGATTACTGACAAACCAACAGGAGGCTTCCAACTGGTTTGGAAAATGGAGAGCAAAGTTGGTACCGTGTTTCTAGGCAACAGATTTCTGAGCTGAGTTCTCCTCATTTCTTAAAGGATTTGTGCAATGTTTTGGTTTTGTGCGTACTAGCTGTTTACTTACTTATTCATTGTGAATTAGAATGACTGTTCTCAGAATAAGATGGGCTAAGCCAGAAAGAGCTCAAATGCAGGCAACGAGAATAGGATGTGGAAGCCACACGGTGGGTGCATAATAAGGCATTTGCTGTGTGGGGTGAAATAATGGCTACCCAGTGCTGCTCAGGCACAGAAAAGTTTTATATGACCAAGATGACTCCTAATTAGAGCTTCAAATCTAAGAGAATTACAGATGACCAATAAAAATTTATTTCCAAAGATAAAATGACTCACTGAAGACAAAGGGCAAAGAGGCTGACCGTAAAGAAAGCACAGAGCGGTCCTTTGGAAAGGGATCCCGGATGTGTGTTCAAGGGTCATGTCCCACAGGAGGCTGTCCCTTGTAGGTCATCGCTTCACAAACATGCAAGATTGGCTGCTGCCAATTCTCAGGTGTTGGTTCCAACCCCACACCAGGGAGGGTCAAAGGGGGCAGACAGGACGCAGCCTTATGGTTGAGTAAATGAGTCTGACTGAGGATGATGGAATCTGTGGTGTTTGAGATGAAAGCCCCTCTGCGTCTTCCTCACGACAGAGCCACTTCATCAACCTTCCTAATGTGGAATCAGACTTCGAGCTGGAAGGAGGGAAGGAAAACACTTTTGGCGCTTGAGAAAAAGGGGAGGGTTTGATTAATGTACGACTAGGGAGTGAACCAGTTCTCAGGGAGAAGAATCTTTGATCAATGCTATGAAGAGGCATCTTCCAAAACCCCCAGATTCCAGTCACTTTACAAGGAACAAAAAGAAGCTGATTCAGAGCACAGCTGTTGTTATTAAAACCAAAACCAAACAAGAAAAGAAAAAGAAAAACTCTGAGAAATAGCATCTCAAATGGATTACCTGGAACAGCAACAAATGAATAATGTTTCTCATCAGAATTCACTTCAAAACTGGCAGGGCAATGTTGGGCCACTGTGTTGGAATACATACAGGTCTCCTGGAAGAGCTAAGGGGGTTGTGTTATTGGTCATCTTTCTCCTGTACAACAGCTCCTGTGTCTGTGTTAGGCGGACATCCTCTGAGAAGAGCAAGTTGACAAATCAAATATTAGGAAGGAAGCTAACTTTGACCAGTTGCCTACTGTGTGCAGGACACTCTTGCATGGGTTATCTGATTTAAGCAGTAATTTTTTTCTAGTTTATACTGTATTAAATTGCTGAGAGAAAACATGGATTCTCTGTGCTTTCATTAACAACTGATGGGCAGATGCATTAGAGAGAGTGAGGAATCATTTCACTTCACGTGCTCCCTGAGCAAGTTTGTCCAAATGGAGCCTTTTGAACTCAGATGTCGGTTTTTCATGTCAGCTTTTTCAAGAAACATGTTTTGCCCCTTAATTATTTTCTCTCTGTTTAACAGCCAAGCATTAATTTAAAGGTTTTGGATGTTCGACTTACCCGTTCCAATCTCTCTGAAGTACTGCACATACATGCAGATTTTTTTTTTTTTAACTATTTGTGGTCTCTCTTCAGAAGATACAGAAGCATGAATCCAGGAACTCAGATCCCTTCACTCTGCGGACCTGTGTGGGTCATCCATGACTGGCTGTGAAAATGTTGCTGACTGCTACTGTTCTCGTACTCTTTATTCTGTACTGTTGCTTGGTGTGTATCCGGTTGATCCGGTACTGTTACTCTTGAAACTTCTAATGAGCTTTAAAATTCTCCAGGAAAATTGCACCCTATTTGTAAAGCCTATTCTCTTCGCCATTCAGGGGAAGGAACAGTTTCTGCATTGTTCCATAGCTCTCTAGTGAAATAAATCTGAGTCTTAACGAGCAGAATTGTCACATTGGAGGGCGCCTGTGATAAGGACTCTGCCATAGATAATTCTTACTGCCACGTGTCCTGCTAGGTGTGTAATCTGCTGGGTACCTTCAGCTGCCTCGGGAGAATGGAGCTGTGGTTACTCTTCCAATCACAGCTGTCTGGGTGACTGAAGAGACACAAGGACAGCAGGCTACCTGATTAGCAGCTCCGTGAGCCCTCAGGAGCAGCACCTCAGCCTGAGTCCAAGCGGGCCCCCGAGGTTCCCAGAACAGCTTTGACTCAAGGTAGAGAGTCCAGAGTTCACACGGAGCACCATGCGCCACAGCGGGGCTTAGTTGTGTTGACTTTTAGGTGTGATTCTTGGTCCGTGCTGGTCAGTGTTCCCCCAAGGACCCGCTGATCGCCTTCATATGGTTTTCTACTCTGCTTCTGGGGCATCGCTTGTCAGTGTACTGCTGAGAGAGCATAAATCCGTGACAGCTCGCAGTCCTGTATCTCCAGTGAGGATCTCGGGCTGCAGGAAGGGCCTCATGGCTCACAACCAAATGTATTGATCAGGGTCTGCTGGAGTCTGGGCTTAATGCGTATGCTGAAATGGAGTTTGCCATTAAGTGTGGAGCTAAATAGTTCATTTTCTTCTGTGGGCTAGAATAAAATCACTCCAAGAAGCATTTGAGATTGAAGATCACAATAGCTGAAAAGCGATGGAAGAAAAAAAATAAGTTTTTCAGAATTGATTGCAATATTTCTACAGATATTCTTATCTTTTCACAAAATCAAACTTTCCATTTGGACTTGTCAGTATTAGCTTTTAGTAAAACCTATTTTTATAGTTCATTTTGATTAATGGAAAGGAGTCGTTTTATTTTTCTTCACTGTAATAAAAATCAAGCTGTCTTATGATGCCCTTCAAAATAGAAATCAAGAGATGATTTGAACAGAATATTAATATTCCTCTTTTAAACTTCTGGTTTTCACCCTGTTTTAATAAACTAAGTTTTAAGCTGATCTCTCTGGAAAGAATCTACATTTTGTGAAAATATGAGCATTTACGACAGAACTTGATCACAATCTTTCATACATTCTTTCCTATTTACAGGTGGCAGAGAGGAGGAAGGCGCACCTCATTATTTTGTGTCCTGTGGGCGCTTAAATAGGCCAGAGAGAATGGGTGATCAGATGAATGTGCGCATCTCAATCATTTTATTGTAACTATTGTTACGGTTTAGAATTCATGGGGCATAATTTTTAATTCAAGAATACGGAGTGGATTTCTCTCTTTTAAAAAACGATCTCTCAGTTTCCAAGAATAAGGCTTTGGAGAATCAGCTGTGATCTAACTGATAACACAGTGGCATATACTTTGCTACGCTTTGATTTAATTTCACTCTGTCCTGCAGCTAATCTTAAAACTTGCCACTTATGATGTCTTCCAGAAGCTCTGAGGCCCTCTCAGAGTGTTTAGCGGGCACCAGTATTATTTTAATGGCTCTGCCTTAACTTCTGCTTTATCTGAGCATCCTGAGCTTTTTCTGCTACCAAGTTTGCATTAGGTTAACCCATTAAAACTCCATCTCTCAAACTTTTTTCATTAATATCCTCCCCACCCTGAAGGCTTTTTAGATGTTTTTTCCTAATTGCTACCTTCCCCATGAAATTTTAGTATCTCAGATATACTGTATATCTGTTTATGTACTGTGGCCCTCCGTATGACCACAAATCATTGTAATAGCTAAGATTTTTTGCCTTCCAAAAATCAATTTTCATCACCTTAAGGCAATGTTGCCCCCCCATACATGTAGTAAAATATGCACACAATACTCTACTGCCAGGTCAATATTACGTTTGGTTTCCTTAAGGCGCTATATGTGACTAACGCATTTGGAAATGATTGGCTTCTGATTGAAATGTACCAATCACACTCCATGTATATTTGCATGAAAAGATAATACACATGGCACATGCACCCTCGTCCTGGTAATGTTGGCATCGCCCCTGATGGGCTGTCAGGGGCAGTGAGGATATGGCTGGACTCAAACTGGATATCAGGAAACTGCTCTTGGCCTGAGCGGTATCCTCAGAATTTAGCCCAGTCCCTTCTGGAAGTGAAAGTGCCTTCAGCTAAGCCTAGTCAGTACATGGCACTCGATTTTGTGGGGTTTCCTCTGGGCCTTCAAGGTAACAAAAATTTTCTCCCTTCCAATCCACCTCTAGTTCTTTCGACTTGCTCCTGACCCCTTCAGCCACAAAGATGCAGTTTCCCTTCTCCTCCCCAGTTCTGTGATGTTGTGTTTTGATATCAAAGAGGGAAAAACAGATGAATAGGAATGAAAGAGGAAGGGAGGAGAGAAGGAGAAATAGGAGGAGATGTTAGGAAAGGCATCAAGCGTCTGGTAAGAGGGGGGCGGAAATAAGGGAAAGAATCGGGAACTGTTCTAAAAATGTGATAGACACAAAATCTTCACAACAAACCTCTGCTCATCAACATCCTCATTTCACAGTGAGGGATACATATTATGAAGAAGGTACTTACAGGGAGGTTAAGTGACTTGCCCAAGGTTACAGGCTGGTAACTTGAATGCTCACGATTTGAACCCAGACGAACTTGTCCCAGAGGCCATGCTCATCATCACGCGCCCTCTGTTCTCACACCAAGAATCTCCAGCTTTCCCAGGTAGCAAACTTCCCCTAGCCCCATCCTCTCCAAATTCTCCACTAGTTGGTCTTATTGTCTGGAACAGTGTTTTTTCAAATTGTCTTTAATAGAGAGCTTGGGGGATGTGGCTCGACTTTTAGTGTTTCAAAGAATTCCCCAAGGACCTCACCTAAAATGCAGATTCTCAAACAATAACAACAGACACATAGATATAGAGATTAGTTTGGTGGTTACCAGAGGGGAAGGGGGGTGGGGGGAAAGGCGAAAGGAGTAAAAGGGCACATGTGTATGGTGACATGACAGATGGTAATTAGTCTTTGGGTAGTAAACATGATATAGTCTACACAGAAATCAAAATATAATGATTTACACCCGAAGTTTATACAATGTTATAAACCAGTGTTACCTCAATAAAAAATAAACTTAAAATATTGCAGGCATGGCCCCATGGCCAAGTGGTTATGTTCGAGCACCCCGCTTCGGTGGTCTGGGGTTTCTCAGGTTCAGATCCTGAGTGCAGATGTGGCACTGCTCATCAGGTCATGCTGAGGCGGCGTTCCACATAGCACAATCAGAAGGACCTACAACTAGAATACGCAACTAGGTACTGAGGGGCTTTGGGGAGAAGAAGAAGAAGAAAAAAAGAGAAGATTGGCAACAGATGTTAGCTCAGGTGCCAACTTCTAAAAAAAGAAAAAAAATGCAGATTCTCATGCTCATGCTTGAGAGAGGAAGATCCAGAGGTTCTAAGTGGAGCTCAGAAATCCGTGATTCTAATAGACACTCCCATTGACTGTCCTTCAGGTGGCCCCTGTACCTGCTTGCCCTGGGCACTTAGTCTCATTTCACTCAGAGCAACTCTACATTGTGTCTGTTGCATTATTGGGCTTCTGCCAAATATTTCTTTCAAGGCGAGGATTCTTCAGCTAAGACAAGTCAGAAAACCCTGGTCTCTCTGGTTCTACACCTGGAGGTCACGGTGCTCTCTTTTGGGAACATTATAACAAATCATTTTTTTTTTCTGCTTTATCTCCCCAAACCCCCCCGTACATAGTTGCATATCCTAGTTGCAGGTCCTTCTAGTTGTGGGATGTGGGACGCCGCCTCAACGTGGCCTGACGAGCGGTGCCATGTCCGCGCCCAGGATCCGAACCCTGGGCTGCCGCAGTGGAGTGCGCGAACTTAACCACTCGGCCACAGAACTGGCCCCGTCAAATCATTTTTGATTAACAAGTTATCAACAATTTTAAGTACAGAAATATGAGTATAACGTATATATTTTATTTGTATTATTTTATTTGCATCCTGCCTTCTTGGGTTAATTACCAAAATGCATACATATTTTAAAAGTGAGGAATGCATTATAAAGGGAAAAATTGGTTAGAAATAAGATAAAGGCAGCATGTATTTACACAAAATATATGCTGTGCAATCCAATATGGTTGCTAGAGCTGAGTGAATTGGCTGTGAACTTTCCAGCAGTTCAGGCAAAGATGGAAGGTTATCAGTGTTGTGATTCTTTGTGACAAACCACTTGCCCAGAAGGGGTACAACCGTTCCCATGATCAGGACCCCAGAGAAATCTCCTCCATTGTGACATAGCTGTGTATGATGCTCTGGTGGCAGCTTCATGATAGACCCCATTGTGACGTTCATCTGCTGTTTCTTACACTTTTGATGTTTGATGTTACAGTTTGATGGAACTGTGGCAAAGCCAACTCAGTAAATGTAATCCAAGGGCCAAAACGAGGAAGTCAGTTACTCCATTCTCTGATGGTCAAGGATACATTTCAAAGCACTAGACTTTGGGACGGGGTTGGCAAATTATGGCCCGTGGGTCAAATGTGAATTTTTTCTGCATTTATAAGTGGTTGAAAAAAGAGAAGAAGAATATTTCATGATGTGAAAATTATATAAAATTCAAATTTTAGTGTCCATAAATAAAATTTTATTGGAATACATCATGCTCATTTATTCACATATTTTCTGTGCTTGCTCCTGCGCTGCGACAGCAGAGTTACATAGTTGTGACAGAGACCATATGGCCCACAAAGCCTACAATATTTACTAGCTGGTTCTTTACAGATAAAGTTCCCTCCTGCTTTAGATTATTGAGATAAGGATGGACTACATATCCTTCGGTCTTGTTTTCCTCTAGCGAGCTTTGCTCACTGCAGAGAGGCAGTGAGTTAAAAGTTGTAATCCTGACAAGTACATCGAGTGTGCATATGCTGTTTTTCCTCCTGTTAAGGTAGACACATATTTTTAAAGTCAGTTGAGCTGTGGGTAGAGACATCCTCCCTCTTACGAAACTTGAAAAGCTTAATGGGAGCATTTCATATGTTTGTGACAGAAAACCCCAACCACGAGAACGCATGTACATGGGAAAAGAAACAAGCTGTTGAACCAGCAGGATCAGCAGTTACTGAATTTCCCTCTGCCTATTTGCTATGTGTTCATCCGTTTTGTCATCTGCAGACGTATTCTAATGGATATCTGGGGAGCAAGCACCCGGGTTGAAGAAAAATATGCGGGAGAAAACCTCCTTGACAATTTTTAATTCCAACATCTTCCTAGGAATTGTTTGTGTCTGACATTATTGGATTTTACTTGTGGAATATTTTGGGCCAGCGTATGGAGCACTATTATTTTATGGAAATAGGTTGAGAATGACTGGTTTAAATCAGAAATGGACTCCTTTATTGCAAGACTGGTGTTGGAAGAGAAGAGTCTAGAAGTGACTCCATTATCAACAAACAACTATATAATTTTATCACAAGAATGAATTTTACACAGTCTGGTTGTCTGGATATGTATGTTCCCTAACGGGCAAAGTGTAGACAATACTCACAGACCTGTTTGGGGTCCGTTGGAGTAAGGCTATCCCAGGCTCCCAAGCCTGGAACTCAATGTGGCAGCAAGAGTCTTGCTAAGCTCTTTTTGTATATAGTAGATTATAAAAGTTGGGTAGCACATTTGCTTCCTAATAACATTGCGAATGTGTAGGGAAGGCTGTCCCAGCTTTGGCTGTCAATCTGTTTAGAAATGTCACCAATAATTCCTAGCCTGGAAGCACTTGACGTGTGGACCCCTGGAGCTAATTGGATCCCCTGATTTCTGGAAAATCCCCACCTGTCATCAACTCAGCAGTAGGTAGGATAGTGAAGCTCTAATGAACCCAGGGATAACTTTAAATAGCCAATCTGATTTCTTTTGATTGTATTGCTTGGCAAAAAGTTGGTATCTTTAGGGAGACACTTTATTCTGTTATAGTCTCTTCTAATCTTTCATCAGGATCCAAGCCGTTTCAGGAGGCCCAGTTTTATCCTGGAAGACACCCCCTTCTTGTAGAAAAAGCTTGTTAGAATTTAAGAACTCCATAAGATGGAACTTGGTCAGAACCTACAGGGGAAATGAATCTGGAATTCTTGTTAACTAGGAACTGACTTGTTTTACAAAAGCAGCAGAAAAATCCATTCCGGGAAGTGGGGAGGGGGTGACCTGAGGCTTCGGGTTGCTGCCTGTGTTGTTTTCCTTCGGTAACTATTTTCTTTGGTCTTCAGTTTCAGAGCGGAATTCACTTGCAAACATGTTTTATATTGCCCTGGGAGTTCCCCGTCTCTAAAAGCAGAGGCTGTTCTGTCACAAGGCACTGTCCTCTGGGAGACAGAGGAATACATTTGGATGAGTTCCAGCGTGCATCGCTGTTCTTTGATACCAAGAATGAAGCTACCAGCATCCTTTTCTTCGCAGAGCACTTGCAGGAGCTGTTTACAATGGAGGGGACTTGAGCTGCTCTGTCCACAGACTGTCACCACCTCCAGTTGGACTGAAGAGCTGTGGTCTTTGTCAGAACATTCTCCTTACGTCAGAAAAATTTGGTTACATTCTTATGTTTAGCTAGATGGAGATCTCAAACATAAAAAGCCTCTCTTCCTCAAACACACCCCCCTTAGCCGCCTGAAATTCCCACAAGGATCCATATATTCCTGTGAAATTTGTTTATTGTTAAGGAGCAGTTTGCTTTTATGGCAATGAAGAACTTGAGCACCAGCAGGGAAAACACACTCCCATCCCACTATACCATTTGCCCAAACTAGCAATTTATTACCCTATCCCCATAAACCAAGGCCCAATTGCTATCAATTCAAACAATTGCACCAGTGTTTTCTTGTTCTTGGAGTCCTAGGGCCCTTGCTGCGGCTTCCATCCACACCCCAAAACAGACAAGCGAGGAAAGGCTTGTTAGCTCACGCACGCTGGTCATCTGAGCTCCACGGATACTCCCCCTGGTATGTCTTTCTGATGCCCTGACTCGCCTGGATTTGAATAATCCAGTAACAGGACTTGAGATTCTGCCCTTGGGATTTGATAATGCATCTCTTCTTGATTTCGGCATTTTTTTCATTTCTTAATTCATTTGATCATTCCTGGGAATGCCTGGGCCAGCTCTCTGCGTACAGCACCCTCACTCATTCTCCTCTTGGTATTTTCTGAGATTTACCAGTCAGGTAGATGTGGGGCATCTTATACTTCTGCTTCATAGTCGTGGTTTTGCTAAACTCTGTCTGCTTTGGATTCTTTTGTGACGTGAGCTCTCCTTCACCTTCGCTGTTTTGCAGCTGCATATCTATAAATGCTCTTCATTTTTGTCTCAGCCCCTTCACTCTTCCTGCCATTGACATGTCAATACGAGAGAAAAGGAATGTGGGGAGAAAACGGAGTGTGGACTCGGAGAGCCTCTTGCTAATGGCACAATGAGCGGCTGGTTGGTCTCCAGGCTGATTTGGAGTCAGAGATGCCAAAATGGAGAAAAGACTGGAGATGCTGGCTTTCCAGGATCTGAGATGGCAACTGGGAAACTGAAAGACAGGCCCTGGCAATCCTGACGCACCTGCCATTTTTTGGATCAAATTGCTGGCCTGAATTTTTACCTTGAACTAGTTTCCTTTCAGGCCACTGTGTCTTATCTTTGTTCTCTATTCTCAGTTTGGCTGTGTTTCTTTCCTATAACCATAGACTATGACATCAGGGCTGGGGGCGTGGGGCGCTTGCATCTTCCTGTGCAACCACCTTCAGTTAGATCTGAAGAATCAGGCTCCAGAGAAGCAATGACTTCTTCAAGGTCACACAGCAAGCTGGTAGAGGAGCTGAGACTAGAAGCCCACCTCCCGAATCGCAGGCCAAAGCTGTCTTCTCTAATGGATAGCTGGTTAAATCTGTGGAATTCAGCAAAAGCTGACTTCTGCTGAAGCAGCTGCCTCCAAGTGTACTCAGAAAGTAATGGTGTGCATCAGTTTGCCAGAGAGGAATGGCAAGGGGAAGAACTCACAGCACCGGGAGAAGAAACATCAGCTAAATCTTCAATTGGCTTTCCTCTTCTGTAGGAAAACAGAAATTAACATAGCACAGAACACCAAATTAAGTGATTTGACTTGGAAGCTACAGTCATGAACATCTTCTGGGTTTTCTCCCCTTGATAATTTAAGATATTTTTCTCTTTTTAAAAATAATATAGAGTAAAATTTTGAGACAGGCGATCCAGGCATTATTTCATCCTCCAAAGTTTCTTTACCCCTAATCCTTGATAAGTAATTGACCAATTATAATTTGGAATTTGGAATAAAGTATTTTAAGTAGATCCTACGGTAGGCAGCAATGTGTATGACTACTAATAAGATGACAGTGCCTGCTTGTAAATCCTTGTGCCTGTGTTACTGGGTACAGTTGGCCCTTGAACTGTCCTGCGGTGTGGTACCCAGTCATTGTTTTCTTCGTTGATGTGTATATGTGAGACTGTTCAAAAATGTGGCATTCCATACATTAGGACGCCTCTCAACCGTTAAGGAACTTTTCCAGGGTGTTACTTATATTATTTACTGATTGTTAATGCTAAAGTATTATCCACTAATGGCAGTGAGTCAAAATAAAGGTGGGGAAAGGTACTTATCTTCTATTTTGGTCCTGAATATTTGAAACTAAGAACTTAATCTATTTCTCATGTTATAAAATGTGAAAAGAAAGAAAAGAGAAACTAAAAATTTCCCCAAAGATCTGTGTGGCTTCTTACTCTAGCTTTGCTCCCTGTAATATTAAAATACTACCTCTAAAGTAATTGAATATCGTCAATGTCTTTTGCCTAAGAAATCAGAGAACTCTAAAGAAGATTGACTCAAGCATCCAGACAAGAAATGTTCTACAACTATGGTGGGGTGGTGAAGAAGTGATAGGATAGCATGGTGACTCTGCCCAGGATGAGGACGTTCTTTCTAGAGACTTCACATGATTGCATATCAATAGATATATGTATATATGTTTTTTTCTACCTTCATGTGTCTCAACGCCTAAGCCATAACATGTGTACTCATGTAAACTTGGTTTTAGTTACCTTTCCTCGAGAAGATGTCTTTAGTTGGAATCATATCCTTGTCACTGAGCATAACCTCTTTAAGTACTTGTGTACGTGGACAGTGTCCGTCATGCCCCTCTGGAGCACACACCTCATACATCTTCTGAAGCAAACACAGTAGTACAGACTTTTAGTAGACAAAGATGTGTATAATGACAATCTGTGGGTTGGGCTTAGAAACTAAGAACATTGGCAAGCAGTCTCAGTCTTTTAAAAGTCCGTCTCCCTCAGGCTCTCTGTTCATTGGGTGTCTCCCTGTTTTGCCAAGTGTTGTATTTCTGGTCTTTAGGTACCCACACTGGGAGTAGAGCAGCTCAGCCCTTGCAAGACTGCCCTTGGATAGACACCAGACACAGGGATTCTGAACCCCTCCAAGGTACATTTTGCACCTTCTCACTCTGTTGCTCCCCAAACTCCTTTTATCAGATCCCCACTTCACCCCTTCAGACTAGAGCACCAAGCTTTCCTGTGTTCAGGCCAATCCCATCTACTGATAGCTAATCTGATTCCCATCCTCGTGATTCCATGGACAGTCATTTAAGGAATGCCTCCTGTCTCACAATGGTCGAACCACTCTCACCTGTGAACTTCCCAGAGACTCAGGTCAGACCCTGCTCACAGGTGGGCCTAGTCTGTTCCGGGTTATCATATTGTGAGATATACTCAATTAAGTCCTTGAATTTAGCCTCTAACAACTTTCATTTTTAGACTGAGAGGATGACGAGGGAAAACCCTCCTAGTTGCTTTCTTATCTGCCTTTGGGTCTCACCTCTCCGTTCTGAGAATCTCTATCCAGCTTACCTTCCCAGAGTTCTCCATCATGATAACTAGACTTGTAATTCCTGTGTGGTAGACCCCTGAATATCCCCAGGACTATCCTGGCTACCTAAAAAGGATGAGTTTTTTAGAGCATTAAATGCATTAAATTAATAAAGCCATAAAGGTGTACTTACAAGACCTGAAATAAAAATTTGGTATTTTAGAACATTTTTTCCAACAATGAATGGGCTCTGAAGTCAGTCGGATCTGCATTAAAAATCTAGTTTTGGGGGCCGGCCCCATGGCTGAGTGGTTAAGTTCACGCGCTATGCTCCTGGGGTTTCACTGGTTCCGATCCTGGGCATGGATGTGGCACCACTCATTGGGCCATGCTGAGGCGGCATCCCACATAGCACAACCAGAGGTACTCACAACTAGAATATACAACTATTACTGGGGGTTTTGGGGAGAAGAAGAAGAAGAAGAAAGAAAAACATTGGCAACAGATGTTAGCTCAGGTGCAAATCTTAAACAAACAAACAAAAGCCAGCTTTGCCATGTAGGTGACCTTGGACAAGTACTTAACTTTTTTCTACCTCACTTAACTCATCTGTGAAATGAGAATGATAATCAGTAGAACTTACCTTATGGGGTTGTGAAGATTAAATGAGATGATTCATGTAATGCGCAAGCACGGCACTCCATAAATATATCATCACACCATTACCACTGCTAAGTCAAGAAGTACACATACAGCATCAGACTGTGCTGCTCCCTTGAGTTTAGCCTGGGACTCTCATTTAGCCTGTCACTGAAGAGAGGAGCATACTGAAATTGCATATACAGAAAGGCATAGCAGAAATCCAACATATTAATACTGATTAAATTGTTTTAGTTTTTCCCCCCAGGTATCAAATATATGCCTTCTGTCGAGAAAGACTGTTGTTCTTGGGTCCCTTGTGCTCCTGAACACCCTGCTGGACATAAGGCTCTGGTGGATTTTTACTTGGGCCACTTCTCAGGGTTGTACTCCAGCTGGCAACGTGTAGACACAAGGTCACATCCCTCCCCAGACAAAGAGCATGCTTGCTTATGGTTTAAAAGCAGAGGGTTCTCAGGGGCCGGCCCGGTGGCCCAGTGGTTAAAGTTCCATGCACTCTGCTTTGATGGCCTGGGTTCACAGGTTCACATCCCGGGTGTGGGCCTGCTCCACTCATCAGCCATGCTGTGGTAGGTGTCCCACAAACAAAGTAGAGGAAGATGGGCACAGATGTTAGCTCAGAGCAAATTTTCCTCACACACACACAAAAAAAGCAGAGGATTCTCCAAGCTCAGTGTTCCTCAGCTGTGATACAAACCTGCAGTGCGCACCGTATCCATCAGGGTTCACATAACTTCATACTCGTGAGACTTAGAAGGCAAGGGAACTGATGAAGACATGCAGTGCTAATGCTGCTGCTGTGCCATGAGTAACAAAGTCTATTGTCTCTGACCCAGGAATCTTGTGAACATCAATGTGATCATCCATGAGAACATCCATGACACTGTAATAAGCTAATTTACGACTTGCAGGTGGGATAAAATCCCAGATACAACACTTCCCCTTACCAAGTTGTTAGGATTATATCAAGAACAGGTCCATACTCAGTATCTGACCTGATCCTCATTCTTTGGAACTTTCTTCTGGAAAGGTTCCGTCAAAAAGTCATGTGCCAACACAATCATGCTCAAGGGCTATAACCAGGTGCTCTCATGTGCTCTTGGGGACTGATGCAGGAGTAGGCACTGACACATGTGGCATTTAACACTCATGGAAAACTGATGATGAATGTTTCTACGTCCTTTTCTGCAGATAATTCTTCATAGCTTCTTGTTGCCTGTAGAATAAATTATAAACTCCTTTCCAAGAGACGTATAAGTCTCTTTATGACTTTCCTACTACAAAACCTCCTCCTTTGACATTCCTCTCTCTCTCACTCTATCTTACAGGTGTATGGAATCATCACACCATTCATCATGTGTTTATTCATTCAGCAAGCACCCATTGATGGTACATGATGCAGTAGGGCTTCTGTTAGAACTAGGGCAAAGCAGTAGACAAACAGGTCCCATTGTTCTGTTCTTTCTAGAGCAGACACGTTTCTAAATCCTATTCTGCTCTCCTTTCTCTGATAAAGACTCACATATGTCCTACATGACTTTTCTTAAGATCCAGCTGCTCCCAGAAATCATCTCTGACCCAGAGTCTTAGGTTTTCTTCCTTTGTGCTATTCCACCAGTGAAGGCACATCTCTGCCGTAGCGATAATCACTTATTTTGGTCAATTGTTTACTTATGTGACCTGCTTTCTCTATCCCTTACTTCCATTTGACACACCACTCATGTCCAACGTTCTTTGCAATTTTAATGCCGGATCTATGTCTTATTCACCCTTTTATCCTCAAGGCATTGTACAGCATCTGACATGTAGTAAACATTCAATAAATATGTTGTAGAATCAATGAGTGATTAATTTACTAAGGCTCCACTCTGACTTTTGGTTACTCAACATATAGAGTCAGAGATTTATACAACTGTAGGGCTGAGAAAGTTTTGCAAGACCGTTTCTAACTCCCAAGTCACAGATAAAGCATTTCCTAGTTGAATCACAGGAAGCAATACAAATACCAGATACCCCGTGTTTGGAGCTGCAGAAAATCTGTGAACAGAAATAGTAATAGCTGAAGTAGGAGGAGATACTTCAGTTCAGCAGTTAATCTAAGTGCTGGATTAGCAGAACAGGTAGGACCTTTGTGTAAAGATAGATTATGTTGAAGTCTGTTCTGCTTTGTTGGGATCAAGCTTCAGAGTCAAGAGCTATAAAACACTTACTCAACTGTGAGCTTGATGATGAATCATGAGTTGCTCCCCATCATACAGCCCGTGTGTATGGAGATGTTCAATAAATGACTACAAGGTGGGGTGACAAACATTGCTCAGGATTAGGGTAGAATGCCTGAGACATATTCAAGTGAAGAGAGAAGTGGGAGAAAATGGTTTTTATTTGGTAAGCTGTAGTGAGACTTGAGTCTGGGGTACATAGAGGAGCTGTTCTGGTTGGAGTTGTGAGGCAGAAAGGAAGGAAAAGAGTTTGTTCCTCTAGAGAAAATTAACCTTTTTTATCCTCTGTTGTATCCTCTATTTTCATTATCTCTTGCTTTTCCTTTTTTTATCTCCTTGTGTTTCTTCCATCGAAATTGCTGTTTATCTTTGGCACTAGTTCAGTTCTTTAAAATGTGCCACCTGTGAGTGTTAGGGAGCATATACTTTGAATCTTCTCGTAAGTTGTGTTCAGAGTCAGTTAAGTTCTGCCAGAGAGGAATCCACCCAAGAAGACACCTGACAACTCGTGGAATATGATTAGACTGTGATGAAGGCAGTTGCTAAGCTAAGAAGCAACTTTTCTCACTGGCAACTCATCACCAGGCCAATTGATGTTTGATGCATGTCCTCAAACTGGCGATTTGCTTCTTTACCTGATGGCTACTGTCCTCATCAGGCCTTTTAGCCCATCAGCTTATAATTGTTAAAATTAACCAGAAAGGGAAAACAAAACACCAGTTTTTTATGTCTAATTTAAAAAAATACTCCCTTGATGCATTATGGTCTTGAAGCAGGACCATTCAAATCATACTTTTTAAGATAGAAAGTGAGGTGTGAACAAAGCTTCTGCTATTTATAAACACAAAACAATGGCTATAAGTTTAGATTTTATACCTTCAAACAAAATTTACGAAGAAGTGCTAACCATGGCCAAGCTGTTCTTTCTCTAGGCTTTGTAGGGCTTTGTAGGGCTGCTCGGGGGTAGCTACACTCATAGCCTAATTTATTGAGTACACTTGTTTATAGTCTAGTTCTCCCACAAACTTACAAGTAATGCAAATGAAAGTCATCTCTGATAGATAAATATTTATAGTTCATTACACAGAAATTTGACAAATAAGATATTTCTATTCTAGTATTTTTATTCCAGTAAAATATTTTATCCAAGTTAACATGCTCCTTTGTTCAGGTACAATTTCGTTTCAAGTGGTTTCTTTTCTCCTTTGCCTGGTTTTCCTTCCCCACTTGGTGAGACCAACCTGTTGACTGAGAAAAGCCTGATAAGTGCTGGGTTACCACCAGGTCTGAGCTCCCAAGAGAAGGAAGAGGGACTGGGGAGCTCAGTGACTTCTGGGCTTGTCTCCGTTCAGGAAAGCTGTCAGGACTTTTCTCTCAGAGTTTGAAGCTAATGGGCCCAGAAACGAAAACATGCTAACTCTTTTGTTTCTGTATTTCCAACTTCTTTTGAAAGATCATTAGTTTTATCAGAAACTTCTAATTTCCTTTAAATATGTAATTTGAACAAGATTTGGTACGTTCTTCAGTACCTCTACTCTGTCTTCTAGCAAGTATGTTTTTCCTGAAGGCATGTCAAAATTTATAATAGAGTTTGATATAATTTTAAATATTTGATGTATTTTTAATTTTTGAAGAGTTTATATATTACATGGTAAAATATTCAAAGCGTATAAAGGATATGTATGAAAAGTAAACCTCTCCCCAGCTCTTGCCCCTCAGACTCCTGTTTCTCATTCTCATTTCCAGAGACAACCATGGTTACTCATTTCCCACGTCTCCTTTCAGACAAACGTACACTTATGCATGTGGAATATTTACACTCATGCCTCCCTCTTTATACAAATAGTAGTGTGTTACACACTGTTCTGTATTTTGTTTTCCTCACATACCTACATATCTCAGAAAACACTACTCATCAGTCTATAGAAGTACTGTCTCATTATTTTATAGTTACCCTTTATTCCATTGAATGGAAATACCATAATTTGTCTAACTAGTTCCCTATTGATGAACATTTTAGGCTGTTTCCAATATTTTGCTATTTCCCTCCATTCTTCAATGCCTATCTTGTCCATATGTCTGTGCACACATGTGAAACTACCCATAGGACAAAGTATTAGATTCAAATTGCTTGGTCAAAAGGGATATAAACACATTTCAATTTGGATAGTTATTGCCAAATTGCCCTCCAAAGATGTTCCCCCAATTTACACTCACCATAATGCAGTTTAAGAATATGGGTTTCTTTTTTTTATATGTGCATCGTCTATAAAGAGTGGTAAACTGCTCAATATTTGTCGCTATGTCTTGCAATCAGCAACTAAATGAATTTACCAGACACTAAATATAATTAAGAGCCCATTACAGCCCCTACTGAAATCAGTCAGTGTAACAAGGCTCCTTCTCACCTTCCCCAGTTGATTAAATGTATACTTAACATCCACGCCTCAACTTGCAATCTAGAGTGTTCAGTGGCTGCACACAGAGCATTTGATAGCTATGCTCATTGACAGGAGAGAGTGTTCTGTGTATTTTAGACAAATAAAGGTCAATGTCTTAAGCCTAACCATGTTCTGTTAGACAAGTATTTAAACGTGATCTTATATCTCAAAATTCAGCGCAATATTAAACATGACGGTGAGTTCAGCAGGTGTTTGCCGTTGCTGCCTAAAACTGTCTACACTTTTGATGTTGGCTCATAATCAGATGGTTCAGACTCAGCCTGAAACAATTCTGTCTGCTTTTAACATATCAATAAAAAATAAAAATGGCTTCAACTTCACATTTTAGAATTAGGAATGGTAGTTTTATTATTATTATTAATGAAGTAAATATTTTATAATGAATTCCTTGTAAGTAATTACTTTTACGTATTTGGAAATGTCAATTTACACCACAAGCCTTCTTTTTTCTCTTTGATGTGCTACAACC